TGACAAGTAGGAACTAAAATGACAAATTTTTTAAACATCTTCATAGAAAAAATTTTTTTAAAGATTTTACTTATTTATTTGAGAGAGAGAGAAAGAGCATGAGGGAAGGGGGAGAAGCAGAGGGAGAGGGAGAAGCAGAGAGAGAGGGAGAAGCAGACTCCCCACTGAGCAGGGAGCCCAACACAGGGCTCAATTCCAGAACCCTGGGATAGGGACTTGAGCCGAAGGCAGGCGCTTAACCCACTGAGCCATCCGGGAGCTCACATAGAAAATTTGTTTTGCAAACAGTTCTAACTTCTAAATCTGGTGGTAGAAAAGTTGGTATTTTCTTTTTTTAAATGCATCATATTTCTGCATATGTGCAAATTATATATTTTTCATATATACATTTACATGTTATATATAAATTTCTATATACATATATATGCAAAATATTTATTTGCATCATCTTGTATATGTCATATAATCATGATTCTTTCAATATAATAGATATTCATCAAAATTTTTGGAATTCAACTTTTCACTTTAAATTTTTCACTGAACTGAATGGTTTGTGAAATTATAGTCTGAATTTCTGATTTATGTAGCCTAGCCTATTGCAAGCAACATCAAATTAGGAAGTGAAATAATACAATCTTTTTGAAATATACATAATCCACCACTGAAAGAAGCATTAATGATACAATACCTGAATTAAAGCAATGTACACCATCCAGTCAACATTTAGGAAAACTGGTTCACTTCATAACTAGTTATAATTCTATGAGGGAATTAGTGACCCTATTTGGTTTTCAAAATAGCCCTTGCCCTATATCCATTTTTTTAAAAACTACATTTTCTAAAGGGGACATTATGAACAAAGAGTTAGCATTACACTATTTTCTAAAGGAACAACAAATGACTGAAACAGTGATACTTTTTTCCACATGTACCAATTTTTCAAAATTTATGGTGTTTCTTTAATACTACATTTACCAGCAAAAATGAACTCCATTGGTTTGGAGAAATGTAATGCCAAACTTAAATTATACAAGCATTCTTTATCCAGGCCATCAAAGATGTTAAAAAGAAATAACAGGCCCAAAATGGAAGTCACTGTGCTAAGCCCAACAGATTTAATGTTTAACTTAATTGCAGTTTCATCCTTCCTCAGAAATGCAATCCTTACCTGTCAGTCTGGAACTTTCTGGTCAGCACCAATGCAGTAATCTGCCACATGGGTCCTTTCCATCCCCCAAAGGAAAATGTGTAATCCCCCTAATGTACCCTTTTGTCCTGCAAAGGGAAGTGAGCTCCCTGGAAACAATCCTTTGCTCATTTATGGCTTCCTTGTCCTGCCTTTGAAAACCTTTCCCCCTCTGTAGCCCTTTGGAGCACCTCTCCATCGCCAGATGGGATGCTGCCTGATTCATGAATCATTCAATAAAGTAATTCGATCCTTAAAAATATACTCAGTTGAATTTTTGTTATTTAACATATTTATATACAAAATTTTATAATATGGTATTAAATTTAGTTTCCATTATTTTAATTCTTCTAGATACACAATCTTCATACATAATTAGCACTATTCACTTACTAATTCACATACTGTCAGGGAGGAAGAATTTCCTCAGCCCTTCCAGGGCCTTTTAGCAAGACTAAGAATCAAATTGACTTGAGACAGATTAACAGGAGAAAATCAAATTTAATTTTGTACATACAGAGAATTCACACAGACATGGAAATTCCTAAGACAGTCAGGCAAAATGAAGTATCAGTATGATTATTCTATAATTTCCATCAATTAAAAACCTTTAAAAGCATATGATCTTTATCAGAAATAGATATATTTCTATTAGTCATGCAACAATATATGTATTTCCATTGAACAGAAATATATTTTATAAAAGCACAATACAATTTCAATTCTAATTGGGACATTTTAATTTAGGAGGTTGTGCTTAATGGGTTAATCCAATTTGTGATTTTTCCGCTAACACACCAAAGAATTTGAATTCACTCATTTTATAGCTACTATTAGGTTCGTTGTTTTTCAACCTTGAGGTAGAAAAACAGCAGGACAACCAATTATTTTTCAAAGGAAAAGTGCCTCATTAAATTAATATATCATAAAAAAAGAATTCAAGTGCAAAGTGCATTTTTACAAACATGTCATATATATTTAAAACCAAAACACCAAGTCATTTAGAGAATTCTGACAAACTAAAAAAATAAAATCTTTAATAAACTGCTCATAGGATTTTCATAGTTAAAATTAGGTGTCAAAGGCTTTTCATTTATTCCTGTTTAGGTAGAATATAGTGATTCTTTTTACCATTGTCTTAAAGTGAGCTAATTGGCAAGTCCTTGGTCGGAGCCAAGTGCCACTGTTCCTAACCTCCCTATTTCCCAATAGCCAGGGTGAGTTGGGTGCCCTTCTCCCTACAAACTTACCCTAAACCAGAAAACATTAACACAGAACCCAACTTCTTCCAATTCGACTTCATCTTCTTCTTTATAGCCAGTCAAATCACACTGTTGCCAAAATGCAACTCTTTTTGTAATATCATTGTTCACAGGCTGGTCATTCTCCCCACCTTGTCTCATCTGTAAATCGTATTGTCATACCATTAAAAATTAGTGTAAAATGTCCCTCCCAGCTCAGCACTCTTGAAAAGTCCCTTCCTACTCCTAGCCTAGATTTTTTTACACTCTTAATATAAAAAGCGCCTGCTGCTACATTCAGGAACTCAGGAAGATTTCTCAAGGTCCATCTCTTTCTATTCAGAAGCCCACAGGGCCCATTTGATGATCCTTTGTTTCTGTACTATTGCTTCATGCTTGATTCTCTCTCTCCACACACATTTCCTCCAGCATTCCGGCTTCCATAGTGCAATATTGTGATTTATAAATCAGAGGACCAAAATATTTTGGTTCTTAAAAAGCTTCAGAACCATAAAGGTGAAATGAGTGTCTTGTTATTTGTAACAGCCCTTTCTGCTGTAACTGGGTTTATGGTTGTGAAAGTGAATTTTGCAAAGCACCTGAGGATGGGGGCTGGTTGCCGGGGGAACTGACCACAAGTACGGAGTACAAATTTTCAGTCTCACCCCCTTATTTCTAGAGAGGGGAGAGGGCCCAGAGGTTGAATCCCTCACCAATGGACAATGAGTTATTCAGTCATGCTGATGTAATGAAGCCTCCAAAAAAACCGAAAGGAAAGGTCCAGAGAGCTTCCAGTTTGAGGAACCAAAATGTGCTGGGCCCCCAACTCCACAAGGACAGAAGCTCCTTTGTTTGGGACCTTGCCCTACCTATCTCTTCATCTGGCTGTGGATTTGTGTCCTTTAATATCTTCTGTAATAAATCAGTAATCCAGTGAGTATATGGGTTTCCTAGGTTCTGTGAGTTGTTCTAGCGAGTTAATTGAATCCACAGAAAGGGTTGTGGGAACCTCTGATGAAGACAGCTGGTCCGAAAAACAGGTCACAACCCGGACTTGAATTGGCATCTTTAGTTGGAGGAGGTTGTTGGAACCTCCCATTTGCTCTCAGTTGTTCAAAATCACAGGTAACCTGGGTTTGTGATTGGCGTCTTGTGACACTGAACCCTCTACCTGTGTAATCTGATTCTCTCTGCAGGTAGATAGTGTCAGAGTAGGGTTGATGTCTTGGACACCAGCTGGTATTCCAGCATTGCTTGTTGGTGTAGGGAAGCCTCCACGCAAACACATTGGAATTGGGTTCAGGAACCTAATTGACATAGGTACATTGGATCATCATTTCCTGAGTTTTGGAGGATCAAGCAAGGTAAATCGGGTCATTTCTTGACCTTTTTCATATAAACTTGGGAGTCTGCTTTCTTGGTTCTGCTGAATTAATTAATGCTTTTGCAAGACTTTCCAGTTGCCCACTTTTTGTTCTTTTTTTCCTGTCCCATTGCTTCATTGTACGAGCATCCCAGGGCTGTTATAACAAAATACCACAAACCTGGTGGCTTAAAATACCAGAAATTTAGTCCCTCACAGTTTTATAAACTAGGGTTCTAAGATTAAGATGTTAACAGTGGAGGGGCACCTGGATGGCTCAGTCAGTTAGGCGTCTGCCTTTGGCTAGGGTCCTGATCCCGGGGTCCTGGGATCGAGCCCTACGTTGGGCCTCCTCCTAAGCATGGGGCCTGGTTCTCCATCTGCCCCTCCTCCCCCCATGCGCTCTCTTGCTCTCTCTCTCATGCTCTCTCAAATAAATAAATAAAATCTTAAAAAAAAAAAAAAAAGTGTTAACAGTGGCATTCTCTCTCTGAAACCTCCAGGGGAGGATCTTTCCTTGCCTCTTCCAGCTTCTGGTGGTCCCAGCAGTCCTGGATTTGTAGCTGTATTACAACAATCTCAGTCTGCGTTTCTGTGGCATTCTCCCTGTGTGTGTCTTCACATGGTCATCTTCCCTCCATGTCTCTGTCTTCTTAGAAGGATACCAGTCATATTGGGTTAAGGGCCCACGTTACCCCAGTATCACCTCATATTAACTAATTACATTGGTAATGACCTATTTCCAAATAAAATTATTGTGGAAGCCTCTCAGGGTTGGGAGTTCAACATATCTTCTTTAGAGGACACAATTCAACCTATAACATTCTCCTAGTCTTATGCATTTTTTTAAAAATGTTCTTTATTCTAGGCTTAGTGCAGTTTCAGGAGAAAGCAAGTCTTGTATGACTTCTTGATGGTGTGATTGAATAATAGCAGTACTCTCTTGAACTCTGAGCCCATAAACTAAAAATTTATAGCTTTTTATTGAATTCCAGTCTCCTAAATTCCTGTTCCTCCCTACTTCTACCTATAACATCAGCTCTCAAGATATTGTTAGTTATACATAATTGTTATGGGCAATAGGATTTCATTTCATTGATGTTGATTTGTACTCAGATAGAAGTGGAATAACAGCTAGCATAACAGAGTGCTAAGGTATTTTTCAAATTTATTTTAAAACTACTCTTTCCAAAAAAATGTTGGAGATAACCATAATGTGGCACAGATTCTAACTTTTCAGAGGAAATACAATTTTTGTAATAATATAATAAAATGTTGATCTAGCAAATTACTGACTTAAATGCTGTTCTCGTTGCATGCCCCTCTCTTAGTCTAGTTATGAGGACTGTTCTTTAAGTAGTGATATATAATAGAGTCATGGGAGAAGTAATAGCACTAAAGTGCTCACATTATAAAGAAGATTTAATATCAAATATAAGTAATGGAAAAGATACTTAAGCACATCATGAGTACAAATGCTGCTAATGATGGGTCACTTCTTCAACGGCTTTACTCCAAAGTGTACCACTGTATTAATCAATAATAATAATACCAATACCAATTAATCAATAATAATAATACCAAGTATTATCTGCACACTGATTATTACTAAGAGACTAGTATTTCAAAATAAGATCTTACTATAGTCATTAATGAATCTCCTGGCTAAAGTGGCACTTAAGTAAATTGACTCAGAGAAGTAAGGCTGTAGTTGAAGAACAGACTTATGGCTGACTCATCACCAGCTAACTGGTGACATTTGGGAAGATAGTTTACATTTGTTATAAAGATTAGATATTTACACAAAATAATGTGTATAAAACTAGCTAACATGTTGCCTACACATAATAGATGCTCATTAAGAATTATCACTTTTGGGCGCCTGGGTGGCTCAGTTGGTTAAGCGACTGCCTTCGGCTCAGGTCATGATCCTGGAGTCCCTGGATAGAGTCCCGCATTGGGCTCCCTGCTCGGTAGGGAGTCTGCTTCGTCCTCTGACCCTATCCCTTCTCATGTGTTCTCTCTCTCTCATTCTCTCTCTCAAATAAATAAATAAAATCTTTAAGAAAAAAAAAGAGTTATCACTTTTTATAGTATTCAGCTAAGTGCCAGGCACAGTTCAAAGCACTTGTCTGAATGCTTTTATATATTTAAGTTGTTTATCCTTTGCACATCACATATGTTTACATTCAAAAGTGACCAAACTGAAACTACCACTAGATGAACCATTTTGAGAAATTTATAATTATACATTTTAGATACATGTAAATGAAATAATACTAAATAGCGTTGGTCCAACTACCTCTTGAAAAGATTTTTACCAAAGCATTCTACATATATAGCTGTCTTTCTTATTTTTAAGGAGTTTCAGAAAAAGTGATGTTTCTTTAGCAATGTTCTATTGATTAGTGGCTCTCAATCTTTAGCATGCATCAGAATCACCTGGAGGGCTTGTTAAAATACGGTTTCTATTTCAGTAGTTCTATAGTAGGCTCAAAAAATTGTGTTTTTAATAAGTTCTCATAACACATTCTCAGATGAAGCTGTTGGTCTAGGGATTGCAATTTAAGAATCATTGCTATAGGTCAATGACTGTCAAGAAGCAAGAAATTCTTCCTTGATTCTAAACATAAGTCTCTCTGATTCATGTTCTTAACTTCTATCTAAGAAAAAGTAATACATATGAATTACTCTTGCCTATAAGGTAATTTATTTTGAAATATTGAAACTAAAATCTGAATGGATATTGAGGAAAGCCTGAAACTCGGATGACAATTCCCATTCTGAAAGTATAGAAGATCTCAGTGCAGGCCCACTTATAAATATCCCAGGACATGAATTTCGAGCATCAGGGGAAACAAGAACTCCTTTGCACGCAAGAGGATACAATCCTGCTTTGTTCTGGACAGACAGTACACCCATTCAGGAACATTATCCCTAAACATATTAGTATTTTATTTCTAACTGATATTGGCAGGTATAATTGGATCATCTCAGGCTAATCATCTAAGTTAAAGCCATATAAATCCCATTGCATACTTCTAAAATTTGTTCTCAGTAACATATGGATTACTTTCTTGTAAAAAATATGTCTTGCTATTCAAGAATTTAGACTGTAATTAACTCATCATGGTACACAAAATATATTTTTCACTGAAGTAGAGTCAAATTTCAAAGCTTTTTCAGTTTCTAATTCCAAATTTGAGATGATAGAGGTAGTAGAGAAGTAGGACACAGTATCCGTCTTTGCCAAGAAGTCAAGCATTCAGCTTAGTACCATCACTGAAAGAGCCAGCAGCCACATACCATATGCATGAAGCAAATTTTCTGTTCTGAAAAACAGATATTTTTATCTGTAAGGGTGGAATAGGATGAGATTTCACACATGATACTCTAATAGTACAAAAAACAAAAAGTTCCTTTCCTTATTGTTCAAAACATATTTCATTCTGTTCCGGAGTGCCTCTCCCTCTGATGACAGGCTTAGAAGAATGATTTACATTTTCTAACTAAAATGAACTTACTCTCTTTTGATTAAACATAGGGGAGCCAGGTCAAAGTTTAATCTCCTTCCCAGAGTCCATCTTCCTCCTCAAGAGGTCTCCCATCCCTGCCTGGTACAGAGGAAAGCTAATGTTCTCATGGCCTGGGATTATCAGAGGTTCAGATGCTTGCCTGAATGAACCTGTCCTGGCCGGCTTGACTCTGGGCATCTGCTTGCAGCCTCTCAGGCGGACATGACCACGGCTGATGTGAATTGTGAATGACTTCCTCAGCCAGGGTGAGGCAAGCTAACTGCCTCCAAAGGCATCAAGCCCCTCTCACTGTTGGCCAGTCTCCACCCCCTCCCCCCACCCAGTGGCACTGTGGAATTCCTCCCATGTAGCCACAGCGGTTTTATGGGTCCACTCTGCAGCTATCAGCCTAATTTTAGCCTCGTTGATCTAATATACCCCCCTCAGGTTATGAAGGCACCTGTGGAGGCCACACACTCCAATGAGAGCTGAGATTTACTCAGTGCATCATCTCAAAGCCTCTGTCCCCCTACACATGCCACACCACTGTTGTCCTCACCTGCAGAAGGTCTGAGTGGGATGCTGGCCAGGGGGGCTCCTGGAGTAGCTAGTCTCCTCCCTGAGCTTCCTAAGTGCCCCCTGGATTTCCTTCTTCTCAGAGCTCACATCCAAGGCCAGGCCTGGAAGAGAAAGGCTGGAGAAGGGGAGGAAGGGCTGGGAGGGCTGCTTTCCTGAGGGGCCAGGAAGAAAGTCCATGCTCTTCTCATTTCCTCTGAGTCCCTGCCTTTTTCACACTTCACCAAGAGAGAAACTCCTCATGAAAACTGGCTAAGAGCAGAACTTGAATGTTCTCACCAAAATAAAAATTTTAACTTAAAAACATTTAATTATTTTTATTTCTTTTTTTGAAAAGACACTTTATGTTCAACCTGGGCATATCTTGAGTTCTTGCTAGTAATGGCTTGAAATCTCACTTCAGATGACCAACTTTTACTCTTGCTATGTAAAGAAAAGCTTTTACAATTTACAAAAGTTTTTTTCTCCTAACACAGCAAGGCTTTCAGAACTATTGCCTGTCTGGGCTATAAGATCCTGTTTTGTCAGTTTAAAGTTGAAATTGACTATTTTTGCCTTCTTAATGATTACGATACTTATCTTCCTGAGATAATAGATAGCTCTGGCTGAAAGGGGGGAAAAAAAGATCCAAATTCAAGCAGGTATGAAAAAAAGCACGTTAATTTTTTAAATTCCCTGTTGAACTACAATGTTTTAGGAATTTTTTACAAAAAAACAATGAGGCTAAAGACACACTCGGTAGGATCACCGTCATCTAAAGGCTGTTTTTAGCCCTTCAGGGTAAGAAATTTTTAATTGCATTGGTTTACTCAAAGACATCCAAACTTAATAAATTAATTCTCACAATTTAAACCCATAAAAAGCTCATTTGAAACCATAAAGCTTATGTTATAATTTATAATGCAATACATATCTTCTTTGTCACCCACCAGCTACAGTCTTAGGAGGCAGAGTCCACAGGGACTAAAATGATGCAAGTAGATAACTATTTTTAATTGATTTGCAACAAAGTCTGATATTTTTAGCTTTAGAGTTACAATTATCTGAACACTTTTAATTTATACACAATATGTGACAAAGCAATAAAATTTAATGTTGAGTAAGAGGTGTAACCATGGATATACCCTGGAATGTTATTGTCTGTGAGCCAGGAAGCTAAATCAGGTCTCAGGCATTTTTCTATTCCATTTATATAAATACATATTACTATCAAGAAATCTCATATTCTATTTCATACTATAAATATGTTATTTAATTTGGTATTAAATAAATACTTCTCATGCTTGGAGCTATTCATTGCAATAAAGTAAAGGAGAAATAATATCCCAACCTATACACAATTACTTAATGGTAGATCTGGGACTACATGCTACTCTGATATTGTTTAATATTTTCATATTTTTAAGTGAATACATTTATTAAGAAAAGGAAATAAGGCAAGTATCTGCTCTTATCACCTAACAGAATAACTTCAAAACCTGTATGCTGACAATTATAAAGATTAATGGGAAAATTTTAGAAGAAAACATAAGAGAAAATCTTTTTATATTGGGTTAGGAAAAAGAGTCCTTAGAAACAAAGAAGTGTGAGCCACTAAAGAGAAAAAACTTGATAAATGAGACTTCTACAATATTAAAATTTTCTGCTCTTTTAAGAATGCTGTTAAGGGGGTGCCTGGGTGGCTCAGTTGGTTAAGCGACTGCCTTCGGCTCAGGTCATGATCCTGGAGTCTCAGGATTGAGTCCCTCTTCGGGGGTCCCTGTTCGGCAGGGAGTCTGCTTCTCCCTCTGACCCTCCCCCTCTCGTGCTCTCTCAGTCTCTCTCTCTCTCTCAAATAAATAAATAAAATCTTTAAAAAAAAAAAAAAAGAATGCTGTTAAGGGCGCCTGGGTGGCTCACTTGGTTAAGCAACTGCCTTCAGCTCAGGTCATGATCCTGGAGTCCTGGTATCAAGTCCTGCATCGGGCTCCCTGCTCTGCGGGGAGTCTGCTTCTCTCTCTGACCCTCCCCCGTCTCATGCTCTTTCTCTCAAATAAATAAGTAAAGTCTTAAAAAAAAAAAAAAAAAAAGAATGCCGTTAAGAAAACGAAAGGACAAGCCACAGCCTGGGAGAAAAGATTTGCAAAATACAAGTGAGGCGTGATTAAAAGTAAGATTAAAAGTAAGAATAAGTGGGTAGGGTTAGCTAATGATGTGGCACTTCATGCTAAACGCAGTCATGCTTCTCTTTCCAGCTTACAGTTGTAACTTTTCCTGTCATATATATGATCTGCACCTCATTATTTCCAGGTGAAGGAAGTGATGTCATGGTTACTGAGAAAAGTTAGTGAGAAAGCACTATGAAGTCCGTAGAGCTAAAAGTCACCAACATTTTGTGGTCACTTTACAGTCGATAGGCATGTGTTTACTTACTGAACACCGTCAAACCTTCCACAATTTCATAGTATGATATGACCAAACAGCCTGGCGTATGTATCTGAACATTTGATTCAGCACAAACAAAATGCAGAAAATATGACTGACCAGACTAAACATGGTTCTCATGACGGTTAACATAGAAAAGCACACCCTTATTCAGGAAGGATCTTGAATCCTTTGGTCCCTGAACGTATTTAAAAAGTAACTGTATAAAGCCAATATATGTATGATTGTACTATTAAGCATATAACAAATGGAAATGTAATATATTTGGAAATAACGACTCAGGAGGAGGGCAGGGCAAAGCTGTACTGAAATAAGAAAATGACACCACATGAATCCACATTAACAAGTAAAAAGAACCAGAAAAAGTAAAGACGTATTATTTGATAGGATGAGCATGTTTGCTCAGCCATTTGAGTTCAAAAGTATGTAATTACAGTAAAGTTTTGGGCACTGCATTTGGCACTGCAGATAGAATGTTTATTAAGACCAAAACCCATCTCATATGTATATGAATAGACAGTTCCTTGATAATATGGTGCTTCTATAACAGAGCATGTGCAGAGTGCTCTGTAGCAAGAGGGAAAGTTTTTATACTTGTTCTTTTCTAGGATAAGCATGAGATAATAATTTTTTTTTCAAAGAGGAATAAAAATGGGTGCCTGGGTGGCTCAGTTGGTTAAGCAACTGCCTTCGGCTCAGGTCATGGTCCTGGAGTCCTGGGATTGAGTCCCACATCGGGCTCCCTGCTCAGCAGGGGGTCTGCTTCTCCCTCTGACTCTCCCCCCCTCTCATGTGCTCTCTCTCTCTCATTCTCTCTCTCAAATAAATAAATAAAATCTTTTTTAAAAAAAGAATAAAAATGAATGAAAAAAATGAATTTTCTAGGTCATGGATTTGTTAAATCACAAAGCATGTTCTCTCTAATATTGTATGTTTCTTCCAAAAGAACTCTTATCAATACAACAGTCCTTTCTCCTTTATTAAAATAGATGTTCCATGTTGTATGAGTTCATACCATTGTTTGGAGCATTTCTCTAACTAGGTCAATTAATTTCACTCTTTTACCTGTCTTATACTATACACTTATTTGATCACCATCTCAAAGTGAAATTTTGCATAAGCCCAGAACCATGGCTAAAAAAATCAAGGCAAATGTCTTAATAGAGACTGAGGATAGTCAACTTGAATCGAGAGAATCAGGGACATATAAGAGAAAAGTAGTCTTACCTGCTGATTTTCATTTGTTATTAGTGCTGTGATTAGATCAGAGGTTAGTTCCACATATTCAACATACTTAGTTGAATCTTACCAACTCAGCTGGCTCAAGGTTGTGTGAAATGACCTCCAATGTTTTGATGTTGCATCTCATTGTCAACCTTCTATTATATTTATTCATTCAATATTTATTAAATATGTACTCTGTGAAGTAATGTATCCAGCAATGGGAATAAAATAAATATTTACTTAATGCCTATTATGTTTATTCATTTATTTAACACAAAATTTTGAGTGTCTACTCTGTACAAGACACTGTATGAGTTGGTAGCTACATTTTGATGAAGATGACAACGTTCTTTCTTTCATAAGACTTATTGCCTGGGATGTGGGAAGGATAATTAAAAGCTGTAACAGAAAATAAATCAGCATGGAAGGATATTATTCTGTAATAACAACAAGTGAGATTGTCTCCATGTCTGTTCTCCTTTTCCTATTTCATCATCTTTAAGAAACAGCAGGCTCTGTGTTCATTAATTGATGGGAGGTTTGAGGCAAGGTAGGAAGTAGAAGTATATTACAAGACTTTTTGAATTTTATTCCAAAAGCCTAAGCCCACTGATGGTATTTAAAATTAAGTAAAGTAGATGCTGCCCTCAAATTAAATAGGCCGTTTTTCCAGGCTGGGCATGAAGGAAAATGATTTAAGGACTTTCGAATGGAGAGTATATGGCAGCACTCCAAGAAGTTGATCAAACTTGGAGGAGGTGTTAGCCTTGTAGAGACATTAGGGTCTTTAGACTCACCATGTGCCCTGTGCTTGACATAAAACGTAGGAGCCACCACATTTCAAGGGACCATTATAGGCTTGAATGACTGGTGTTTTTGCCAGGATAGACTGGTATTTACAGGCTTTCTCCCCCTTTTCCCAAATATGACATAAGCCTCATAGGTGCTACCATGAGAGAAAAGGGAGAAAAAACTTAGTTATGACCAAGATGAAATTTTCTGCCAAGCAGGTAGAATGTGATAGAGGCTCAATGTCAGAATTAGGTTAATTTAAAGGAAATACAGAAAGTGAGTTTGATGAGGGAAATTATGCCCACTACTCAAGAAACCAAGATATAAATACATAATACAAATTTTGACTAGTACTACAAAGGAGAATGACCAGGATGGGTTCAGACTATCCAATAAGGGCTCCTACAAATGAGAGGAAATTTATGATACTGGGAAGAGCACGAGTGAAGGGTCAAACACAGGAAAGCACAAAGCAAGACGTTGAAGAAACCTAGCACAGAGTGTTGGAGACAGTTACATAAGATGTGATATGATAGTGATAGGGAAGATAGACCCTTCAGGGCTTCATAAGTCATAGTAAGATACTCAAAATTTAATGGAAAAATCAAAGAGGGATTTAGCTGTAGAGTGACTTAAGCAACTTATTTTTTTTTAATTACTCTGCTCAATACAACTCAACACCCCAAAAACAAATAATCCAATTAAAAAATGGGCAGGAAAAAAAATGGCAGAAGACATGAACAGACATGTCCGCAAAGAAGACATACAAAGAAACAACAAGTGTTGGAGAAGTTATGGAGAAAAGGGAACCCTCTTGCACTATTGTTGGGAATGTAAACTGGTGCAGCTATTGTGGAAAACAGTATGGAGGTTCCTCAAAAAAGCAAAAATGGAACTACGCTACAAGCAATAATTGCATTGCTGGGTATTTACCCCCAAAATACAAAAACACTAATTCAGAGGGATATTTGCACTCCTATGTTTATTGCAGCATTATTTACAATAGCCAAAATATAGAAACAGCCCAAGTATCCATCGATAGATGAATGGATAAAGAAGATGGGGTGTGTGTATTGGAACATTATTCAACTTTCTGAATGAAGAAATGAAGAGTGAAATCTTGCCATTTGTAACAACATGGATGGAGCTAGAGAATATAATGCTAAGCAAAGTAAGTCAGTCAGAGAAAGACAAATACCATATGATTTCACTCATATGTGGAATTTAAGAAACAAATGAGCGAAAAAGAGAGAGAGAGACAAATCAAGAAATAGATTCTTTAATTGGGAACAGACTGATGGTTATGGAGGGAAAGTGGGTGGAGGGATGGGGGAAATAGGTGATGGGATTAAAGAGTACATTTATCATGATGGGAAAAAATTATTTAAAAAAGAAGTTACTCTGCTCAGTGATAAATGCTCTGGATGGGCAAAATTGAAAGAGGAGAGAACAGTCAGATTTTCAAAAGTCCAGGTGAGAGATGATGGTTGTTCTGACACAGGTATGGTGACCGCAGAACTAGAGAGACGTGGGCCAATATTACCTACATACATACAAACACATATGTACACATATAATTGGGAGTATATAAAACTGTATTATGCTCAGTATGAAGACAACTTAGAATCAATTGAAGAAGACAAAATTTTAAACAAACCTTAAAAAAATTATGACAGCACATGATAGGTTCAATCTTAGACAATGTAGGATACAGTGTTACTAATTACAGAGCAGGGTGTGGAGGTCAAAGTCCTCTAGGATGTCTAAGAACTTTACAATTTGAACAATTTCAAGTGTAC